TTAATTTGCTATCATACTATACAGATATTTCTATTGTTTAAGTCAATATGTTTTTGCAAAACCAGCAATATTAACATTCACCATTCCCAATTCAGAATTATTTGGAGATATGTAATATTTTGTTAATCTGTGAACAGTAGTTTGAAATAATACTTTGAGGAAAATTTAGAATGTTAGAATAACAAACAGGCTACAGAGTGTGTCCCAGAACAGTCTACAAAGAATTACATCAATCAACAGACTGCTCTTTTCTTAAAGAGATTGTATCAGTGTGTAATGTTCTTACAAAAAGAAGGTTCTTTATTAAGCTCAAATAGATTTAAGCCTCCCCACCTGACAATCCACTGAGGAGTGGATAAGAATTATTCATTAACTAGCCCTTCACATAATTAAGGCAACAGAAGACAACCATCCTTTTTCTTCTCTTAACTAAGTAATACCAAAATCTTTCTTCTTCTTCTTCTTCTTTTTTAAATAAATTCTACTTTACAATCACTTGAAATAATTTGTTTGTTATATGGGCCCTCAAATCATTTTTCTGTTTCTTTTCATTTTGAAGGCAATTTGAAAAAAAAGAGCCAAGAAAATAATAATGAAGGTCAGACAAAATCAAGCAATACTAGCTACTCACTTTAGAAAATTAAATGCTTTAAAAGTGTTCTACAACATCATGTAATTTGTATGACTAGTTTTGAAATTAGAAACCAGAAACGTATCAATGAAATTGCTTTATTTGGAAAAATAAAGACCTTTGTTTTAACTGACTAATGTAGACAATGAATATTTTCTCTCACTTATATCAGCCAGGTTCAGTCATGGCTGACAAAGTGATACCAGAATGGACTTGAATTTTTTAAATGTGAGTTAAGCAGAACACTAACTGGAAAATATGGGGAAAATATGGGTCAAAGCCTCACTAGAAATGTAATCTCCCTGTTGAAAACAAGTGCAGGGTGTACAATGCATAACAACCAAATCTCTTGACTGGCTGAATCAAAAACAACAATGCCCAGCTCAAATATGGCGAGCAATCGAGTCACTGTGAATGTACGTCACTGCCCACAGTCCTGGCAATAATCCACCGTCACACATCAGGCTCCTGAAAGCACTTACGATGCAAGTCTCCCTTTCTCAGGCTTTAACCTGTAATGTTTCTTATTCCCGTTAGCATTCCAGATCATACAAATTTTAAAAATTTCAGTGTGTTCTGGTTTTGCTTTGTCGGCCATGACTGAATCCATTTGAACTGGTTCAAACCCCTGACAAACAATTGACATTGCTTCATTTTATCATAGCTATCTTTCTCAGTTTCTTCCTCCCTTAGTATTTGCCCTGTTTCCCAGATGTCTGCAGAGCACTGAGGGAGCTCATCTGGAATCATAGCCCGTTATCTTAAGCAACAGAGGCTCTACTTCAATCACAATTTAGCTCAGATGTTAATTAAATTATAAATGAGCTCTAGTTCTACTTTTTGCAGCACCCAAAATAAACCTTAAGGTGAACTACAAAATCAGAAGATGGTAGTTTTCTTACTCCTTGACCCTATAAATTAATTTCTCCATTCCCCATTTCAAATGGCTCTTCACGACCTCCTTAATATCCTTCCTCCTTCCCTCGTTCCTCTTGCCTCTATTTCTCTGTTCCCCCATTCCTTCCCTTTATCCTCTCTCTCTCTTACACACATACACACACACAGAGAGAGAGAGAGAGAGAGAGAGAGAGAGAGCACAGACCTCTTCTCTTCCATCAGTGGCTGCTATTCATTGGCCGCAGCAGCTCTGCTTCTACCATATGCTGTTTCTTCTACTTTCCTTTGCTCTTTTCTCGGACATTATTTTCCCCTTGCTTCTTTCTGCTTTTCTATCCCTGACTATGGTTCTCAGCATATATACAAAGAAGAGCCATTATTAACTTCAATGAAAATATTGTTTCTTTGGGTTCTTTAGCTAGCTGATCTGAAAAGATCCCATTGAAGTGACTAGAATCTAATGTACTACTCTTCTGAATTCTTCTATTACTAGCTGTATAGAGGAGATTTCTGTCCTCCCAAAGACTCTGTGTAGATTTTGAGGTAAGGCAGAAACAAATGCCATTCCATTCCATACATTTAGGCTATAAAGTCCTGGCTGCTAGAAAATGACAATACTATACATACAGCCACAACAACTTAGTGTTCGCATTCTGCCAAGTACTTAGAAATAAGCCTGTACTTTAAGCCAAAGGCAACACTACGAGGGAAAAAAAAAGAAAAAAAAACTGCCTTCCATGTTGTTGTTGTTATGTGCCGTCGAGTCAGACCCAACTCATAGCGACCCCTTCTTGGGTTTCCAAGGCAGTATCACTACGGAAGTAGATTGCCCCATCTTCCTTCCGGGGAGTGGCTGGTGGGTTTGAACCGCCAGCCTTCTGGTTAGCAGTCAAGTGCCTTAGCCACTATGCTACCAGAGAGCATGCCTTCCATAAAAAGGAATTTATTTGAATGAATCAATAAATCTCTGCTACAGGTCAGCTCTTTTAAATGTATACTTATAAGATACAGTGTAGTATGACTGACCCCTTAGAAAGCACCACAGTTAATTATGAAATGAGGAAACACATATATTAAAACTATGCCCATGTATTCTAAATGACTTTTGATAAAAATGAGAACTTCATTAGTTTAAGTGATATCACTTTAACATTTTCAGTTTTATATATAATGCTTGCTTTTTAAGTTAATAATTTAAGTTAATAAATCAAACTCACAGCCATCTAACCAGATATGACTCATAGTGACCCTTCCTTGGGTTTCCGAGGCAGTATCTCTACAGAAGTAGATTGCCCAGACTTCCTTCTGAGGAGTGGCTGGTATGTTTGAACCACGAGCCTTCTGGTTACTAGTCAAATGCCTTAGGTCCTGCACCACCATTTAAGTAATAGGCAGATAAAATTTAACTTAGTACTATACTGAATATTCACTTTTTAAAAATTTTACTTTGAAATATTTCAAACTTACAGTTAAGTAATAATACACAGCAGTACAATGAAAAATTATTTCACCTTCACACAGATGTTCTAGTTGTTAACATTTTACCACATGTATTCCTTTTCAACTACCCATACACACATAAAAAAAAAAAGTTTTTTTTTTCTGAACTATTTGAGAGCAAGCTAAACATACAATGTTCTATCATTCCTAACCATTACAGTATGTATTTTCCCCAAAACAAGCACTCCAGCCAACTTAACCACTACATCAATCTCCAAACCAGGAAATCAATATTGATACGACATTACCAGATAATCCACAGCTTCTACTCAAGTTTTGCTAACTGTGCCAACATCACTTTTTCCCATCTGGTCAGGATCGAATCCTGATCACACGGTCTCCTTCAACCTGAGACAGTTCTTCAGTTTTCCCATCTACTGTGGCCTTGACAGTTTTAAAGAGTGCAGCTTTTCACTTTGTAGGATGTCCCTCAATCTAGCCATATAGTATTTTCCCATAACCACATGCACACCATGAATTCTGACCAAGAATACTCCCAGTATGATGCAAAGCTTTTCCAAGCACAACACTCAGGACACACACGGTGTTGATTTGTCCCACCACCTGATTGCACTGGTGTTTACTATGAAAACACCATTTTCCTGTTTTTTCAATCAATTGAGCATTTTGTAGGAGATATTCTGAGATTATGCCAACTTCCTGTTTCTCGTGGGGGCTCCAGTGGCTTAGGGCCTGAGGCATTTGACTGCTAATCAGAAGGCTGGCAGTTCAAGCCCACCAGCTACTCCTCAGAAGGAATATTGGGCAATCTACTTCCACAGTGAAACCGCATCGGAAATTCAAGGATAGGTCGCTATGAGTCTGATCCGACTCGACGGCAGTGAGTTTCGTTTGGTTTCTCATAAACCCACTAGTTTCTCATAAACCCACCAGTCTTAATATCCTTTGATGACTACCACCTAAATCAACTACCATTCTAATGGTTCTCAAATGGTGATTTTTCCATTTCCAGAATTCCTTTTACATTTACTCGTAAGCATTCCAAACTGAAGAAGAGCTTTTTCCTTTTCCCCTATTATTTAGTTATTCACAAGTTCCTATTTTATTCAATAAATTATAATCAATTTTTATCATTATTTTTTTGATGCTCAAATTGTTGCAGATTTGGGACAGTGAGAGCCACTTTGAGCCAGCTCCTCTGTCCTTTTGGCATGTTAAAATCTTTTGGTGAACATTTCATTACTTTCTGGTAAAACCTGATGTCCCAGGCCCATCATGTACTTACTCTGTCCCAAAGCCTGAAATAATTCTAAGTGATCCTGATTCCTTTCAGAGAAGCATGGTATTTAGAAACCAATATCCATCCAGGTACTTGGTATGATCATTGCTACAGAGGTGTCATTGTTTTTAGGCCCTAGAAAATATATGTGCATATATGTATGCATGTATGTATGTCTATATATATATATATACACACACACACATATATACACACATATGTACATACATATGTATATACTACACACACACACGCAAACACACACAATCTATATGTGTCTGTTTATGCATACTGAAAAAAACATAAATTCATACCAGTATCTGCAATTCCAATCCAACACCTAGGATTCTTTCTTGCCTTCCCTCTTTCAATGTTTATAAATCCCTTTTCCAAGGATTCATTACTTAAGAAATGTAGCTCTCATTGTCCTCAATATATTCACTTATTTGCTCAATTTCCTCTTTTGTTCAGTGTAACCAAGCTCCCAACCACACCAGCCACCTCTGTGCTCACTCCCCAATCACTGCTTCCTTGTCATTGGCATTTCAATGCCTCCATGCCTGCATTGGAAAAAAAGAGAAAGGCAAGGGCAGGGAAGAAAGATTGGTAAGAGAACTGGGGAGGAGAAAAGGGAGGAGAGATAGGAAAGGAAAAGATGGAATATGGGAAGGGAAGGGAGGGAAAAATGAAAACCAAAAAAAAGGAAGATGAGAAAAGAATTCAGATACTCACTTTTAAAACACCTTCCACGGCCATCTTCCCTTCATGTCCTAATAATATAGTGTATGGGTAAAGCCACTGGATTGCATGTTTGATTGACATCATAGGAAAGGAATCCTATTTAGTAGCAAAAACAAAAAGGAATGAGGAACATCTAAAATAATCAAAGAAAAATTATCTGAAATGGTAATAAATATTAAAATTGCTTTATGCAAATAACCAATAGGTTTCTGAAATTTACCAGATATCTACAACAAACATTCATTCTTATCTCTTCCTACTCACATCCTTCCCCTGGATAATCTCACCTACTCCTACTTTTCAGATCTTATCTATGTGGTGAGGCTCCCACATCCCTATTTCTAGCTCTGATCTTTCTTGAGCTGTAGTCTTTAACCTTCAACTGCCCAATATATGGAAGCTCTGGTAGCATAATGCCTAAGGCACTTACTTGACTGCTAACCGCAAGGCTGGCAGTTCAAACCCCTAGCCACTCCTCAGAAGGAAGGTTGAGCAATCGGTTGGGCATTCTACTTCCATAGTGATACCACCTCGGCAATCCAAGGAGGGGTCGCTGAGTCGGGTCCAACTCGATGGCACATAACAACAACAACAACCCAATGTACGCGACTATCCCATTCAACATCTCTAAAACTGAGCACATTTCCCTACTCTACTCATTCCTAAATAGCTTCTTCTCCTCTCCTTTTATTCCAGATTTGAGTTAATCTCATCTATATTCACCTACTCTCATAGTTACAGAGTTAGAAAGTGTCCATTAGCCTCAAATCTCTCTCCAAATCAAACTGCTCTCTAAAGTCGGTTCACCCTTCTTTAAAGAGACTATTGGCAGGGAGCTCTGGCAGGAACTCTGGTAGCATAGTGTCACTCCTCGGAAGGAAGGCTGGCCAATCTACTTCCGTAGTGATACCACCTCAGAAACCCAAGGAGGGGTCGCTATGAGTCAGGGCTGACTCGATGGCACATAACAACAACAACACAACATTAGCAGGGAAATTTCCATATAGACTATCTATTAGATGACATGGTGGAATTGTTAATATTCAGAGAATATGGTAATGATGTTCTTTTTCTTTAAAAGAATTTTTACTTCTTAGAAGATGCATACTAAAACATTTAAGGGTACTGAAAGGAACTTACTTTTAAATGATTCAGGAAAAACTACAGAGAAAGCAATCATGGCAATATGTAACAACTGGTGACTCTAGAGTGTAGGGATTTTCTTTGAGAATTATCAAAGAAATAGATTTAAGCATAAATAAATAAATAAATAATAAAAACAAAACCAATAAAAACAGTAATAACAAAAAGAATGAAAAAAGAGAATATTTGATAAATAGGAGGAGAAATGTTGTTCTGGATGTATGTTGTTGTCGTTGTTATGTGCCACTGAGTCGGACCTGACTCATAGTGACCCCTCCCTGGGTTTCCAAGGCAGTATCACTACGGAAGTAGATTGCCCCATCTTCCTTCCGAGGAGTGGCTGGTGGGTTTGAACCACTAGCCTTCTGTTAGCAGTAAGTGCCTTAGGCACTATGCTACCAGAGCTCCTTTCTGGATGTATAGGGCAACCTAAACAATACCTGGAAAATTGGACTCACTGACTCACAGGAAAGAAAATAAAAAACAACAAAAGTTTAAAAATAAATGTTATGCTTAAGCTAGTACCCCCACTATCTGGGATCAGGCTCTCCTAAGTAAAGTCTCAATAAATACAATAAATAGCCTCCTATATGTTCTCCTCTATGCGTCCAGACTCTTCTCATCCCTCCTCATTACCAACAGAGATGTCTTCCTGAAACATTAATCTGGTCACTTCACACCCCACTGACTTAATGATGTCTGATGGTCCACTTCTCCCATACCACAAAATCTAGAAAATGGCATTCACCATGAAAAACACTTAACAATATAGTTCTAATCCATCTCTTTATCAGACACACACACACACACGTGCACGCGCGCTCTAGGGATACAACTTTATATCATTTTCCAAATATACCAGGTCCTTTCATGATTCAATACCTTTGCACAAGCTGGTGCCCTGGTGGTGCAGTGGTTAAAGTGCTTGGCTATTAACCAAAAGGTCAGTGGTTCAAACCTACCAACCACTCCATGGAAGAAAGATGTTGCAGTCTGCTTCAATAAAGATAACAGCAAAGCAAACTCTATAGGGCAGTTCTACCCTGTCTTACAGGGTTGCTATGAGTTGGAATCAACTCAACAGCTATGGGTTGGTTTCACCTGTCTAACAGGCCTTCCCATCCCTCCAGAGTCTACTCTCATGCTCTTCATGTCTATGCTCTAAGAAATCTTCTTGGGTCTGTTTTCACCCTTTTTGTGTGCCCCGCTTTCCCTGCCAATAGCCAGATTCTGTCAAGTCTTCTTCAAAGACTTCCCTTGAGCTCTCAGAGCCTATTTTGCTAGGAGGCCAGTAAACAGTTAATGCCTGGGCATTTATGTCCCCTGGGGTGACCATTACTCAATGACTGATGGTGCTGGTATATGAAAGCCCAGCTCCTCTGTCTCAGGTTGAGGTAACTCTGAGCATTAGTTATACTGCAGCATACTTCTGTGTGATTAGGCTAATGCCTTTCTTGCCTCTACGAACTTCTACCTGAGATTGCACACCTATCTCCCCTACACACCACATATGCAATCTCTTGAGGGCTCAAAAGACGTCCTTGGTTTCTGCATGGTTTATTGCTCTGCACAGCAAATTAATCTCAGGCCCTGCATTATTTATAGAGGAATAGGACAAAGCAAACTGAAATGATTAATCACCAATTATTAATTTTCAAATTTTCTTTGCCACATTTGCTAGTCATTAATTTATTTTATACATACCAAGATTTGAACAGCAGCGGGTAAACTATCTAAAGGAAAATCTGGAAGTCCAAGAGTAGAAGATTCTTGAGAACAGAGAGTTGTGGCAAAGGACAAAAGCTGAGAAACTCTATGGGGAAAAAATGATATTACACTTTTATTCTAATAGTTTATTATTATTATTATTGTAGTGAAAATATACACAATAAAACCTTCAGAAATTCAACAATTTCCACTTGTACAATTCAGTGACATCAATTATATTCTTCATGTTGTGTAACCTTTGTCACTTTTCTAATTATTTCACCACCTTTAAAATAAACCCAATGCCATCAAAGTAAAAATTGCCCCTTTCCCCCTCCCTTCCAGCTCTGGTGACCACTAATAATCTTTGGTTCCTATATATTTGCTTGTTTCATATAAGTGAGATCCTACAGTATTTGTCCTTTTGTGACTGACTTATTTCACTCAGTATAATGATTTCTAGATTCATCATGGTGTAGTATGCATCAGGACTTGATTTCTCTTTATGTCTGAGTAACATTCCATCGTGTGTATATACATATATTTCATTTCACTCATCTGCTGATGGGCATTTCAGTTGTTCCTGCCTTTTGGCTACTGTGCAAATGATGCAGTATACCAATTTCTGTCTGTGTTCCTGCTTTCACTTCTTCTGGGAGTATATCAAGGTCTGAGATTGCTGGGTCATATGGTACATCTATCTTCACCTTTTTGAGGAACTACCAAGTTTTTCTCCACAGTGGCTATACTACTTTACATTCCCATCAGCAGTGGATGAAGATTCCAGTTTCTCCATTGACTTCACCAATACCTGTTTTTATTATTTTTTGGGTTATTTTTTCATCATTGCCATTCTAATGGGGGTGAGAAAGTATTATATGGTGGTTTTAATTTGCATCTTCCTCATGGCTGATGCTGAATATCTTTTCATGTGCTTGTTGGCCATCTGAATATCTTCTTTAGTGAATTGTTCTAGTTCTCTGACTATTTTTTGATGGGTTGTGTGGTGGTTAAGTCTTTGTGTCAACTTGGCTGGGCCTGCTTGAGTGGCTGGGCAACTGGATTTAGTGTTCCCCATGATGAGACTGGCAATCAACTCCATGGTGAAATCTACTATGAGCAGCTAAGTAGCTGCCTTAGGAATGTGGTCTGCTTCCTGTATATAAGGAGAAGCCATGGGGAATGGTATCTAGCCTATGGCATGCTTGGACCCTGCATGTAACTGTGTCATTGTTCAGCAGCCTGCCATGCTCTGCCAACCTTGGGATTTACAATGGATTTGAATTAATGGCCTGCCGTGTGGTTTGGTAACATTGGGACTGTGCCATTTTATCTGTTGACCTTGGGCTTATTAGCCTCAACAGCCAATCTCTGCCTGGGTGAAGAGATGCCTCTAGCTTCAGTGGGCCGGAAGCAAGAGGCTGAAGCCCAAGGTTGAGGGGCTTTCACACAGCCCTAGAGCCTGGCACTTTGAACTCAGACTTCTAGCCTCCCAAATTATAAGAGAATAAACTCCTGTTTATTCAAGCCATCCCATTTGTGGTATGTATTCCTGTCAGAACAGCACTAGGTATCCAAAACAGGTTGGCTGTCTTTTTGTTGTCAAGTTGTAGTTTTACAGATATTTTGGATATTGGACCTTTATTAGATAAACAGTTCTCAAAATTTTCCCTCCAATCTTGTGTCTTCACTTTGTTGATAAAGTCCGTTGATGAACTAAAGTATTTAATTTTTATAAGGTCTCATTTATCTATATTGTCTTTTGCTGTTCTTGCTTCTGTTGTCATATCTGATAATCCAGCATTAAAATCTGGGTCCCATAGTCTCGTCCGTAAATTTTCTTCCAAGGATTTTATGGTATTAGTTTTCACATTTAGGACTTTCATTAATCTGAATTGGTTTTTGTGTACAGTGCGAGGCATAGAGCCTGATTCATTCTTCTGCATATGAAAATCCAATTTCCCCAGTACCATACATTGAAAAGGGTCTTCTTTCTCTATTGACTAGACTTAGCATGCTGGTCAAAAATCAATTGATCACAGTTGTAGTGATTTATTTCTGGACTCTCTATTCCATTGATCTATATGTCTGTAATTATACCAGTATCAGGCTGTTTTCATTACTGTAGGTTCGTAGTATGTTTTGAAATCAGGAAATGTGAGTCCTGTTTTATTTTTCTTCATCAAGATTGTTTTAGTTATTTGGGGTCCCAGGTGCTTCTATTAATAGTTTTAAAATATATAAATTTGTTAAATATTAACCTAAAAAGATATTCTCTATTATTAAAGCTTAAGGAACAATTGTTCTATATCATAATATTCCATTTTAAAATGCAGAAGCTCATCAGATACATGGGTATATTTTCTAAATTTGTCAAAATATGTAAAGTTTTTCACAATCTGGCCAAAATCTACACTGTCATCCTCATCTCCCAGCTGTCTTAATCCCTAAACATAAACATTATTCACCAGGAACTTTTTATTGCCCCAGGAGTAAGCCATATACTCTCATGTCCCATGTCTTCTAAAACAGTTGTTAGACTATCTTAACTCTATTCTCTATCAGGCAAAATCCTCATGCTTTAGGATTCATCTCAAATATCAATGCCTTTGTGAAGCCCTGATAGAATCTCAACCAATATTTTGAAATGATGGAACTTATTACATTGTGTTAAACTAAGGTATTCACATATCTTTCAACATTACTGAATCCTGCATTTCTTGCTATCAAAGACCATGTCTTATTAAACCTATCACCAGGACTTAACACAGTACCTAATAGTGAAAAAGTCTTCAAAGAGTTATTGAATGAGTGATGGGCAAAACAAATTCAATGTAAGTGTCTAGATATTTATAATAAATATAGCTGATATACTTACTTCTCAGCAGGAACATTGGCTCCAACTGAATACAGCAGCTTAAGTTGGTCCTAAAATAACAGAAACATATCAAATCAGTTAATAAGGAACATAAAAGATGTTATGAAGACACAATCCAACTTTTAAATTAAGCAAACACAGTGACTGCAACAGTAGGCTCAAACATATCAGTGGTTGTAAGGATGACTCAGGATAAGGCAGTGTTTCATTCTGTTGAACACACGGTTGCTATGAGCTGGAATCTAACAACAACAACAATAACAAGTAATATCAAAAACATCACTTCTCAACACAGTCACTTTCTTAAAGAAAAGTTAGCTTTTCTTCTTTTTTTTTTATCTTTCAGACTAATATCTTATAGCCTAATGCCACAATAATTTTTCTTCCTAGTTTTCAAAGACTTTCTTCACTCTATTTCTTTTTATCTTTCTACTAACTATTAACTAGTAAGGAAGAACCTTTAAAAACAAAATAATATTTTTATAATATCTAAACTTCTTGTTCTAAATAGGAGGTATATATTTTTTTCAATTCACCTTTTTACAGGTGTATAACTTATTGACATCCTTTATTTTAACCAACTGTGCAACCAATACCCATAATCAATGTGAATTTCCTGTCACCCTACACAGAAACTCAGTACTCCATAATCAATAACTCTCATTTTCCCCTTCCCTTCCATCCCTACTAAGGAGGTATTTTTAAAATAAATTCTACTTCTTCAAACTAACCTTGAAGGGTAGATAATAAATATCTCTAGCTTGAAATCGAGAACGGAGAGGGGGGTCTAACGGATTCCCAGAGTATCTAGGTACTGGCAAGCCCAACGCGATCACTCGGAAATTTTCACTAACACGGACAATCTTCCAAGCATCCAACTCTGATTTGGTGTGATCCTAAAAAGAGTAAGACATCAAAATTATAGTATAAATTATGTAGATTAAACTGTGAGAGTTGCCAGCCTAAGGATCTTAGGCTCTTACTGCTAAGTACTTGAAGAAATCTTCCAAGCCAACTGTCAAGGAAGGATCAGGATGCCAGAGGAGGCTAGTAATATGAAGACTGGTGTTTGAAAGGAGAAGCAGCTGACCAATCTAAGAACAAAGGAGATATGGATCTAGTCGGTAGTATAGAGGAACAGAGTCATGACTGTCTTATTCTAGATTCATCCTCTTGAGGGGACTTATTACATCCAGTACTTAATAAGACAAATGTCTTTTGAGTGACTGTATAAGTTAATTAAAAATCATAATAAACTAAATTATTTCAATCATAAGCAAAATCACAAATCAAACAATTAATAGGACTAACACTATGGTATTAAGACAAAGGATTTTGTCATATTCACTAAAAAACAACAAGGGTCTAGGTCTAGCCTGCCTGAGAAACCAAAGTGCAGTCTTCAGAGAGCTGAATATTTCTATTCTCCACTTACCTGAAAATGACAAGACTATAAGAGTTTATACAATTGATTGTATCTTTTTCCATAATAAAAAAAATTCTATTACAATTACCCCTATGAAACCATTAACATTTTTGAGCTATCAAACACAGTATATTGAATCTAGATAAAAATTTAAAAAACCAAAACCAAACTCACTGCCACTGAGTCAACTCCAACTCACAGAGAACCCCATTGGATTTCCAAGGCTATAAATCTTAACAGAGTAGATTGGTTCATCTTCCTTCTGAGGAGCAGCTGGTGGGTTTGAACCACTGACCTTCTAGTTAGCAGCCAAATGCTTTATCCACTACACCACCAGAGCTTCTTAGATAGAAACAGGTGAGCCTTAAATCATGATATTGAAATAAAAATTGTCTTGAGGTGGTAGTGTTTTGTGACAGGATCTTGCCTATATTCTGTGAGGTTCTCATGAGACAGAGTCTAGACATATAGAAATCATACTTACTGATAAAAAAAAAATTATTTATTTATATTGATAACTACTTTGGGAAAAGACAACATAGTAGATCATTCTCACATAACAATAATATGCATCTCTGTGCATTAAATGCCTTTTGACCCCATATCCCAAATTCTTATAGAAAGGAATATATTCAGTAACTGTGCAGAGAATTTGACCACAAGGATAAACAATATATCTAACTTTTTATTGTGAATGAAGTAACTTCTATACTTAAAAAAAAAAAAAATGATTTCATATTATGAGTATTTTTTTCCAAATCATCTATTAAAAATGGTGAATCATCTCTAAAGGCAAATAAGAAGAATTCTGTCATCAGAAAGTATCTATATGATAACCCCTTCTTCTAAAAACAAAGTTAAACACATCTTTCATTTCAATAAATTAACTATAATAATATGAACGAATGAATACAACTTTTCCTTATTGATTAATTCCTCAATATTTTTTTTTTTTTACCAGTTGCCTCGACAATTCATGGTGACTCCACATTTGCTAGAGCAGAACTGTGCTCCACAGGGTTTTCAACAGATGATTTTTCAGAAATAAACAGCCAGCCCTTTCTTCCAAGGAGCCTCTCTCTGGGTGGACTCAATCCTCCAACCTTTCATTCAGCAGCCAAAGGCATTAACTGTACCACCCAGGGACTCCAAACCCTTGACTGTTGTTGTTGTTATGTGCTGTCAAGTCGGCCCCGACTCATAGCGACCCCTCCTTGGGTTTCCGAGGCAGTATCACTACGGAAGTAGGATTGCCCAACCTTCCTTCCGAGGAGTGGCTGGTGGGTTTGAACTGCCAGCCTTCTGGTTAGTAGCCAAGTGCTTTAGCCACTATGATACCAGAGTTCCTATGACTAGCCCCCTTTAACTATATTAGAATGATATAATTTTTAGATAGATCCAAAAGAAAACTATATTACAGTACAATAAAAACAGCATTTTTATTAGAAATTCCCATAAACAGTAAAGAAACAAACTGCTATGAGGGTTGCAAGATGGTTGCCAAGAAAATAGATGTGCACACAGGAATCAGAAAGAGATGCTTCTGCCATCCATCATTTCAATCAGACATTCTGGTGCCAACATTTATCATTTAGTGCCTAGCACGTTCTGAGCTTGTATCAGCACCATCAGAGGGGGATCAAGAAATATATGGCACAGATCCTGATCCTGAGAAATTTGCAACCAACTTGGGGTACATATGTATCTTTATAAAACAGATGTGAGAAAGACTCAGTCCTAAAATTTAGAGGCAGAGCAGTCAGTACCAAAGGCTGAGTAAGCCACACAGAGTTCCAGTAGGAGTGCAGCTTCAGCTAAATGGACAAGGGTTAACTGTCTTCTCGTTTGTGACATTACACGAACTCTTTTGCCAAAGTTTTTGAAGAGCCCCACATTTCTTCACTGTTCTCCTCTTTATACACACTTGTATCATAATTTATTACACTTATTTATCCGACTCGATGGCACATAACAACAACAACAATTCATTCATTCAATAAATAGTTATTGAGATCCTACCCTGTAACAGACATTGTTCTAGGAGACTGAGATAACACAAGTAACCAAAGATCCTGCCCTTGTGAAATTTATATTCTAGTGGAGGGCAAGCCTGGACTTTACTCAGCTTTGTCCTCAATGCCCACAACTGTCTAGCAGTCATTAGGCTTTTAATAATTAATCATTAAAAGAAGAGAGAAGAAAAAAAAGATAGGAAAGGAGAGAGAAAGAGGGGAGGAAAAGGAAGGAAAGAAGACAGTGAAAATCTGGAAGGTCTTCTAAGATGATCTGCAAACAGAATAGCCTATAAAACTACAAACTTCTAACTTTACTTTAGCAATCTGCCAAATATATGGGCCACCCGATCATTGTCCCAGTCTGACAGAACCATGTCTTAAACAACAAAAATGGCACTACTCACACCTCAACAGCAAAGATAAAGCACAATTTTTCTTCTTTTACCTGGAGAAGTTTGTCGTAACGCTCAGCAGACATCAGGAAGCGTCCATCTTCAAGCTGCATCTCCCTATTTTCCAGCAAGTTGTTCAAAACAGGCAGGACATTCCTTTCCGCCTTTTCCAAACCTTCCAAAACAAGAGTTCTGCCTTCTGTGGCTGCACGAACTGCACACTATTTCCAAGAAACACAACAGCAAAACTGAGTATTGAAGATGGCAAAGCATAGCCTAATTTTATTTGTGATGTCAATTAAACTTAAGTTCTTAATATGGGATCAGGAATCAGGAAAGCTACATTCCACATCTTGATACTGCTTTATGTGCCTATATGATCTCAGAAAAGTGATTTTTACCTCTTTGGACCTGTTCCTTATTTGTAAAATGAAGAGACTAGAAGAGATGGTCCATTAAGTTTCCTTGCAGCTCTAGCATTTTAGATTATATACTCAGCTAGTTAGAAAGCTAATAGCTATGAATGGGTAACATAATTACCTAAGGAAGGAGATCACTTAACTAGAAAAAGAAAATGAAGATAATGTCTGCCCTATCTGTCTCATAAACTTCATGGGAGGATCAAGTAAACTAGGTGAAAATGCTTGGAGACTGAACAGTTTGTAAACAAGAATCATCATCAAAATACATTCAGGTCTAATATGATGTTTGATGCTGAGAACATTACATACTTATACAACAGAAAAAGTTTCAGGTTTTACATTGATCTAGAGCACACTGAATATAAGCATAGTCTTATATGTCTTCCAAATAAAGCTTAAGAAAATCAGTTATGGAGAAAAAATGGGAAATAAAGTGGCTCCAAATATAAGAGATAGAAAAACCATGTTACAAGGTAAGAGACACAAAGGCCCCTAAGGTAGGAGACACTAAAACTATAATACAGAAAAATTACTGAAGATGTATTATAGAAAATTTATCTAGAACTGACAAGTTCTGAACAAAACAGAAAACAACTACTTTGTGGTCAAAATCTTTAAAAATTTGCTGAAAAATAAAAATGTCAATGACTTTTTTCCTGCTGCATTCACAACAGCCAGAGGATGAATGCTGCTAAATTTGTGTTATCACTCCCTCCTTTAAATTCTCCTTCTCCTTCTCTGGTCTCCATGGAACTGGATTATCTTAGAAAATATTTCTCCTCTTCTGCCTGCCTCTTATATTTATTTGCTAATACCCAGAATTAAATCCTTACTCACAGCTTTCTAACCTATAAGGTCTTCCTTGAGTAATCTTATTCAATCACATTGTTCCAGCCTTCATGCCATCAACTACTCAATCTCAAATTCTCCCACAAGTTTCAGAATCATATTGTCCATTCAAATGGATGTCTCCAACCTGAGTGTATAAGCACCTCAGTCCCACTAAGTTCTTCTCCCTCACCCTATACCAAACTGGGCACACTGGATTTCCCAAAATCTAGTCTTCCTCTTATACTTTCTATTTTTTTTTTGTACATGTCTGGACCCTTGATTCCTACCTCATTGGTTACATTCAATAAATTATCACATTCTGATAAATTAATCTTCATAATGCTTCTTGAAGTCATCCTTTTCTATTAGTCTCTCTAGTTTAGACCCTCCTGTCCTCTCATGTGGGAGCTCTGGTAGCATAATGCCTAAGACATTTGACTGCTAACCAGAAGGCTGGCAGTTCAAACCCACCAGCAACTCCTCAAAAGGAAGGTGGGGAATATACTTCCATAGTGATACTGCCTTGGAAACCCAAGGAGGGGTCTCTATGAGTCGGATCCAACTCCACAGCAGTGAGTTTGGTTTTTTGGTCCTCTTGTATATCCTCACTGTTTGAACTTTTAAACCTCCTTTTTTTTAACCCTTTAAGCTCCATCCAACTGCCAATCTGACCACTACCAATCCAAAACTTTGTCATTCTTCTTTCAAGTTCATCTGTGACCTAAAAAATTAAGTCCAAGTTCTTCAATATGGCATGTAAACCTATTATAATATGGTACCTGCCTACCTCTCCAATACCCAGCTCCTGACATAGTTGCCTCATACATGGGATTTTTGCAACAATGGACTGGCAGTATTTCTCCCATAAGCTTGAACATTATGCTGACTGCTCTGTAGAAAATCTTTGCATCTTTGCCTGTACTGACCCTTTGCCTGAAATTTAATTTTTCCTACAGTAATTAGCATAATAAAGATCTGAACATATGAAATGGGGAAAAAAGCTATTTGCATATTTTTAAGACTTAATGACCAAAGAAATTCCTGGAACAGCAAAATATTGATTTTACAAATAAGGATGTAAAAAAAACACTGCCAAGTCAAGCTTGCATATTGTCTCCTTTTAATAAACTATTGAACATTACACTGTATTATGGCCACCAGCCACTCCTCGGAAGGAAG